TGTTTTTTCTTTTTCTGTTTTGTTCCATGCAGATTTACTTTCATTATGAGCATGGCATCCACAACCAAACTGGTTTGCCTGTTATGTCTTAGACCTATAATGAAATACTTTAGTGTTAATAATTTAGTGTTCCTGATCAATAATTCATACTAACTAAGTTTGGTTTGTTGTTGAGCCTTTCTTAAACCCTTCATATAAACACAGTTGAGAAATCACTGACTGCTCAACAATGTTCTGTGCTTGATGTGTATGTTCACATTTACTACAGTATATAGCGTGTTGTTTCATCCGAATAAAGCAGATTAAAGCAATCTCATATAATATACCAGATTTAATAAGATTATTTAATGTCAGTAATGTCATGTTAGTAACAATTAATGTGATTATTTTCTAAAGAGAGGCTCAATGAGAACACATGACTTGAAGGCAGAATTTAGTGTCAGTAGAAAGAGGATGTAAAAATGATCACATCCTCAGAATCCTCATGAGAGTTTCCTATTCTGGCTTTCACTACCTTTGATGTGTGGTGTGTAGTAATTATTCTGGTCTATGTGGAGAACAACAATTGTGAACAGTCACAAGTTTAAAGGAAAGATTAGGTTGATAAAATGTTGTCGACAACACAGCTCACTTATTTAATTTTTACTGCAAATACTAAGCTCAACATTTCGGGGACTTGAATTATTACTTCTACAGCTGTTTGAAACAAGGTTCAACTGTTGAGTACACAAAAGACAGGAAATATGGGTTCAGGCTGACTTTAGACTGAACCAGACACCAGATTCAATTCAATTAAATTTTCAATTCAGTTTCATTTATATAGCGCCAAATCACAACAACAGTTATCTCACAGCGCTTTTCATAAAAGAGCAGGTCTAGATCGTACTGTGATGTTATTTACAGAAGCCCAAAAATTTCCACCAAGAGCAAGCACTAGGCGACAGAGTCAAGGAAAAAAATCCTTTTAAGAGGCAGAAACCTCGAGCAGAACCATGGCTCAGGGTGGGCGGCCATCTGCCTCGACCGGTTGTGGGTGAAGGAGAGAGAGAGGGCAAGAGAGGAACAGAGAGAAAGAGAGAGAGGGTTGGACAGAAAAGGTGATGTTGCTGTAGACTAAATGAAAAATGTTACAGATATAGACAGTAGTGTTAATGATAATAATCGTAATGTTAATGATTATAATAACAATAGGACTAATAACAATAGTTGTTGCAGCAGAGGGTGTCGAGCAGGAACACGGGGGCAGCAGGTGACTCGCAACCACAGATCCAGACTCCATAGCTCCAGAGCCAGAAACACCTGCAGGAAGTGATAGGAGGAGAAAGGAGAGGGATGAGAAAGCACAAGACTACGGGAAAGGGGAGAAGTCGAGTTAGTAACATGCATTAATGGGATGAGGTTGCAAAAAGAGGGAGAGAAAGTAGAGGAGAGAGGAGCTCAGTGCATCATGGGAAGTCCCCCGGCAGTCTAGGCCTATAGTAGCATAACTAAGGGATGGTTCAGGACTCACCTGAGCCAGCCCTAACTATAAGGTTTATCAAAGAGGAAAGTCTTAAGCCTACTCTTAAATGTGGAGATGGTGTCTGCCTCCTGAACCCAAACTGGAACCTGGTTCCAGAGGAGAGGAGCTTGATAGCTGAACGCTCTGGCTCCCATTCTACTTTTGGAGACTCTAGGAACCACAAGTAACTCTGCATTCTGGGAGCGCAGTGCTCTGGTGGGGTAGTAAGGTACTATGAGCTCTTTAAGATAAGATGGTGCCTGACCATTAAAAGCTTTGTAGGTAAGAAGAATGATTTTAAATTCTATTCTGGATTTTACTGGAAGCCAATGCAAAGAAGCTAAACAGGAGAAATATGATATCTTTTCCTGGTTCCTGTCAGAACACGTGCTGCAGCATTCTGGATCAGCTGAATTCTTAGCTGAAGTCTTAATGGACTTTTTCGAGCAGCCTGATAATAGGGAATTGCAGTAATCCAACCTAGAAGTAACAAATGCATGCACTAGTTTTTCTGCATCATTTTTAGACAGGATGTTCCTGATTTTTGCGATATTACGTAGGTGAAAAAAGGCGGTCCTTGAAATTTGCTTAATGTGAGACTTAAACGACATGTCCTGATCAAAGATAACTCCAAGATTCCTCACAGTGGTGCTGGAGGCCAGGGCGATGCCATCAAGGGAAACTATATCTTTAGATAATGCGTCACAGAGGTGCTTGGGCCCCAGAACAATAACTTCAGTTTTATCTGAGTTTAACATTAGAAAATTACAGGTCATCCAGGTTTTAACATCCTGAAGGCACATTTGAAGTTTAGCTAACTGATTAGTTTCATCTGGCTTGATCGATAGATATAACTGAGTATCATCTGCATAACAATGAAAGTTTATGGATTATTTACAGAGAGTACAGATTCCTTAGTGGAGCATATGCATAAAATGCTAGATGCTGTTTATATTATCTAACCCCTTAGTTTGAGTTAAAAGGTGAATAGCAGCATACGTATTCTCATATTAGGCTCTGTCACTTTAAGAGGGTAACCTCTGACCCTGAGTTGTAACAGACTGTGATGTTTATTTTAGGAGAGACCTCTGATTCGTCCATGTAGATGGCATTCACGTTTCAAAAATTGTGGTTAAAGGGCGGGACAAACAGGCAGAGTACACCGGTGTTGTGACGAATGTGTGTGTTTTCTGTGGAGGCAGCAACAAGCTGCAGAAGAAAGAAAAGTCTAATTTAATTAATGTACAGAGACAGTTAGTAGCCTGGCTATTTTAAAATAAGTTTGTCACACTGCTACACAGTTTTGTGTATTGTACTGCGCGTGTGACCGGCTGTTAACGTTATGCTTCGAAGGAGACCGTCCTGTGCCTGTTTTCATATACACCTTTGTGAAAGGACTGCAAAACATGAGAACAGCGGAAGTCATTTGGACGATGCTGTGAAACTGAACGTTAATTGTGCCCAACAGGCGCTCCATTGAGCAGCACAACAAACACTGTGGGGCCACAACAAGTCGGCGGGCTGTCTGAGGATATATTGGCTGACATTCTTTCCGTTTTGATTGCGGGATCTCTGTGGAAAGCGGCTATAGAAAGGCTCTGGATCCCTAAAACATTGTCTGTGCGACTCATTTTCTTCATTGACTGCTCTTTGCTTATGGCCCTGTAGGCTCATTTGTTCTGAGTTTGGTTGTGTCTGCTTAAATATTGCATTCTTAATCTAGGTTTGTGACAGTGGTACTTTAACTTGTGTTAATGTACTCCTCTTTCTCTCTGTTTCTCTCTCTATGTTAAGTGTTTTGTGGAGCCATGCTGTTTGTTGACATGTTAAAAAACAGAAGCAAGAGAGAGTATTGTAGTGTTACTGGTATTTATGTTTTGAAATGTCATACATATAAATATGACACTGGTCAAATCGGTTGTCAAAAAGTGGAATATTGCAAGAATAACTATCCTAGTTAGTTGTAACAAGAATAACGCCAAATTTAGTAGGTTACCAAATAATTACACAACTCTATAAAGATACATATTGTATTATTTCAATTTGAATTTAAAGAAAAATACACCAGGTTAGTGCTGAATGCAGAAGATGCTCTTTATGTTACAGCCTAATAATTTGACATCAGCAGCTGTTTGCACTGTTTTGTCATTACACGAGTTACATTGGCGTGATGTGTGAATTGGCTCTGACATATCTGAATAATCATGTATGCACAAATCATCCACCCGCACTCAACTCAACTAATTATTTTCTTGCATTTATCCCACCTCTACTTTTCCTTTTAACTTTCCAGGTGATTTTTTATTTTATTGTGTTGATGTATGAGTGTTTTTGTTTAATGGTTTACCTTCATGATTAGAAAGGCATCTGTGAGTCATTTTAAACATTTCCATCGGCGCTGTAATGTCACAGCAAATACCCTGGGACATTTATGCAGCAAAACTAAAAAGTGTAGCTATAAACTTGACAGGACAGGCACAGGAAACTCTGCAAAGGAAACAGAATTCAACTTTTAGCTTCTGAAATAATTTAGACGCTCTGATGGAGTTCAGGATTGATCAGGAGGCTGGCTGCTTTACTCCAAACAGTTTCATTGTATGAACCTGGACTGTGCGTGAGACATTTTGGATTTGGAGAAGAACACACAACATTAATCAACGTTAGATTCTGACTGATTCATATCGGTGTGTCAATATAAATATTATGGGTAAAATAGGATGAGTCGTCTCCCCATTAAGAAAGACGCTGTGCGCATTTACACACGAGGTACAGCAGCATAACGTCATTGATTATTTGACGGGAGATGGCAGGATCGGTCAGGATGATCAGCCTCTCTGATCATGAAAGTAATTCTTTAAAGCACAAACACACAGCCTATAGAAATGTATTTAGGCATGATCCATCAGGGGAACTACCATCTTGTTAAAAGGAGCTGAGCTCCCCTGTAGTTTGCACCCTGCCTACAAGCTCGACCGTCGGATTGCATCAACAGGTAATGATGTTAATATTTTACTCAAAAATTGCTTTTTCTGGTGCCAAAATCTTTCTTGGTATTGATGAATTATTAAAAAAACATTACTTTATTTCGGCTTAAAATAAGTTGTAACATGCGTTACCTAGATTGTAGCAGGTAGCCTGTAATATTGCCGATTTATTTTTTTATAATGCGTTATAGGCCTATAAACTGTGTTACAGCTGTGGTGTCCCAACAATAATGCTGCGATGATGTGTTGAGAAGAAATCCGCTTGACACCGTTCTTGATCATAAAAGTTTATTACATCAAGGAGTTCAGCATCAATTACAAGGTCTGCAGCAGCTTGGAGAGTGACCCAGCCCGATGACCACTCTGTCTCTCTGTACATCAAACATAGCTTATATAGGACATGTGTAGGCATCTGTTAGACACCATATAAGGGTCTGAGTCTGCAAACTAAGGCACCAATCCAAATAAGGGCACAGTGCTATAGGATATGTGTAGGCATCTGTTAGACACCATATAAGGGTCTGAGTCTGCACACAACCACTAACCTCTGCTCTCCCCTTAAAGGTCACTAATCCTCTATCCAGCTGCTACAGTGCTATGTTAAACTGTTATGCCTCAAATGCACATATGTTACACACCACACAGCAAAAAGCAGAACCCTACTACTCTTCTCTACTACTCTGCAGAACCCTGAAGCCAAAAGGTCTTCCCACGCACCTGCAAGCAAAATAGCCTAAATGGCCATAATACTGCCATAAATGGCGGAATTGCAGTATCTTCTTGAACAGTACTCTTTGGTGGCATTTTTCAGGCCATTGCAACTTAAACTTTAAACTTTGTTGCAATATTGGGGCAAGTAGCTTATTGGACTGCGTGTTTGTGTGTTTGCGTGTGAGAGGGAAATGGAAACTCCTTATGAGCAATGATCTCTCTCTTTTTGAAGCTAATATGCACAGACAGCTGTTTAATTCACACAAACATCCCGCTGTATATTTGACCAGAACAACGTATTACTTATTTAACAGATAAGAAGTTCTTCTTCCACGTAGGCCTACATTTGCTAATTTGGCAGACACTATAATGCGGGGAAAAGTCACATTACAGTTTTTGCCCGTTGCTTGAACACTATAGACCCATGCTTAGACTAAAGTAACACAACTTGAAGCTTTTGTTACCATACCTCAAACACATGTACCCATACCTTAAACAAAAGCGCTGCTTTGCATTCTAGTTGCAATTCTGCAACACACTTACTCCTTTATGGAACACACTTGCATACTGCACTCTATTTCATACATAAGACACTTTGTTCAAAAATGAAATCTCAGGGTGCCATTTGGAAAACGCATGTATCCAAAATACAAAACACATCAGGTAATTGCTACCACTCAAATACACACCTGAAGGCACTTACTTGCAAAACTGAACACCAATCAGCCAGCTGCAAAAAGCCCTTAGTTTAGCCATTTCAAGAACTTTGCAAGCATGGATGGAGGGAGAGCAAGAGGCAGAGGAAGAGGAGGAGGAGGAGGACAAGGTCAAGGTTAAGGTCGAAGAGGCCATGCATGGACCCCGATTTCTGATGATATAAGAGCAACTTTGGTGGACCATGTCATCAACCATGGCCTGACTACGAGGGAAGCTGGGCAAAGAGTCCACCCAGATCTAAGCCGCTTCACAGTGGCATCTGTAATAACATTCCGACTAGAAAACAGGTATGTCTTCACCTCTCTACCTTCTACTCCACTCAGATGTATTTACAGCACTGTACTATAGTATAGTCACGTGTACAGGGTATTGCAGGGTGCTAATGCTCCTTTTGCAGCCAAAGTGGTAGTTTTTGTGAAACATACCATGCATGATTACTTACAGTATATTGAGATGTTTCAGTACAGTGGTTGATAAATTATATACAGTAATGTAAGAAAAAGAAGCAAACCGATGACAATTTGTGGTTGTATTTCTCTAGAATGACTAGAAGACCTTCTGGGGGGAGGACGCCAACGCCTGTTCACACAACAGCAGGAACTTGCTGTTGTGGACCTAGTGACAGAAAATACTTGCAGACAGGCAAGTGTTCAACATAAACCATGTGAGCATCACCACCATCAGACGCATCTTGGGAAAACACAACATCACCATGAAGCAGCTCTACAGGGTCCCATTTGAGAGGAACAGTGTCAGGGTCAAAGGACTTCGAGCTGAATATGTACGGATAAGTGTAACTGTCCTTTACATTTACAATACAGTATTGGTGAAATCCAGTAGCAGTTGAATATGTACCATATCAGTACCACATGGATCCATTCGGAGAACTACACAGGTTCCTGTGTGATGGGGTGAGGGTTCTGTATGTGTAGCACTGTAGTGTAGTAATATGATGTTTTTTTTTGTTACAGAGAATCTTGGTCATGGATGGAGCTGCACAGCCTCATGAATTAATTTTCATTGATGAAGCTGGATTTGACCTGAGCAAAACAATACGATGGGGTCATAATGTAATTGGCCAAAGGGCAATTGTGCATGTCCCAGGGCAGCGCGGGGGAAATATCACATTGTGTGCTGCCATATGCCTTAGAGGGCTTCTGCAACATCATGCAAAACTAGGTCCATACAATAGCCAACATATACTCACATTTCTAGATGCTTTCCATAATATAGTTGTACAGAACAGACCAGGTTTGTGGTGGTATGGGATAATGTCAGTTTCCATCGGGCTGCTCTGGTCCAGGCCTGGTTCACCAACCACAATCAATTTGAAGTGGTATACTTGCCCCCTAACTCACCATTTTTAAACCCTATAGAGGAATTCTTTTCGGCTTGGAGATGGCATGTATATGACCGCCAACCACATGCCCGCATGCCTCTTCTGCAGGCAATGGAACAGGCCGGTGACAGCAATCCATGGATGGTTTCGACATGCAAGGGGATATTTTCCCCCGGTGCCTAGCGGGAGAAGACATTGCTTGCGATGTCGATGAGGTCCTGTGGCCAGACCCCAACAGACGGCGGGATCCATGAGCCCACGTATGCACAATTTCCATGATTTTCTGTGTTTACAATATAGTGTTTTTTGCATTATCATATATTTTTTTGCTTTATCTGAATTCATGTTACTGCAATTTACAGTGATGCAATGTCCAATATTGAGTAGGCCTATTTGCTTTTTTTGATTGTTTGAAAATGTGCCTCCTGAAAATATGCCTTCTGAATAAACAGTGAAAATCAAAGACTGCAGTGTTTATATAAAGTAGTGTGCTCCCGCTGATCTGAAAGTGTATGCATATGATGCAAGTATGTGTCATTTTGTCATCAGAGTTACATTTTGATAGTAGAGTTTCAATTTGACATAGATGTGAATGGTATATTTCCCAGTGTTGTCATGTTTACTTGTGTGTAGAGTTTTGGCACTATGAGCAAAGTTTTGCAAAATGTGTTCAAGCAACGGGCAAAAACTGTAAGAAGTAGTCTCGTTCCATGATTCAAACCCAGACCTCCTGAATGCAGGACAGCCACATTGCCACTGTACTATTATGTAGTTGTGTTCTTCAGAGAACAGTTATTGTTAGAACTGTTACTAAATGTCTCTTGTTGTCAACATCCGTTGTGGCTTTTGGTATTCGTGTTGTGGCTTTTGTATTTGGCCAGAGACCTAAAGGCCACCGTATTTAGGGGTTTATATTTGAGAAACAAGGAGTGGCCGGTAGACTTGATTCCAGAGGGTGAAGGGAATTGGTCTCTTGCAAAATTGGGTCGGTTATCTCTCTTTAAGAATTGAATAATTTAATATCAATATAATGTTAAGTTTAATGTCCAATGATTCTAGTAGGCTAATCTGAGTGAATTTGAGTAATCTTTAGGATTTTTGTCTAGGTTCTGAATAGGAGGAGTAATAAAGTTAACTACACTTCTATTTTTCCATTGTATTTTTATTATTTTCTTTAATTATAACTTTATGTAATCTATATTAATTGTCATTTTCATAAATATTTGTACTTGTATGTTAATAAATTATTGAAAAATTAAGATACAGACTAATTATTTGTGCCTCTTGTTTATGATATGAGGGAATCCCAGCCCCACAGGTGTAAAGAAAAAGTGGTGATTACAGTTTTTCTCAAATGCTAAAACACAAAAGCCAATCCTCTAAACCAAATGACCAGTTGTCTAAACACATTTACTAAATCTAGCCATCATTTTCCAATATCATAAACACATTTCACATGAAGACACAATTCACAAAACACAATCCTCCGTTCACAAATCTTAACACATTTTTCCTTGCTAAAACACAAGTTGCAAAAGAACTCTGCTCATATTCTCAAATGAAAGCTCATGTGATGCAAAATGCTTGCCACAGTCAGCAATATTTGAACAAAATGAACACACCTGGCGTCATTCATTACACACAACGATTCAAAATTGAAAACACCTGTTGCTAATGCTGTGACCACATGTATAAAAGCAAGTTCAGAGTGCACAGTTTGCTGAAGATTTCAAACAAACACAATGGATGAAGGCAGAGTCAGGGGAAGAGGTAATCGAGTCAGAGGAGGGAGAAGAGCTGGCCAAGGAGGAAGAGGAGCAGGCCAGGGAGCAGGCCAGGGAGGAAGAGGAGGAGGCCAACAAGGGAGAAGAGGAGGAGGCCAACAAGGGAGAAGAGGAGGAGGCCAACAAGGAAGAAGAGGAGGAGGCCAACAAGGGAGAGGAGAAGGTCCAGGAGGGAGAGGAGAAGGTCCAGGAGGGAGAGCAAGACAACCTCGCACCATCATTACGGACGAGATGCGAGCAACAGTCATTGACCATGTCATTGTCCATGGCATGACAATGGCTGAAGCAGGACTAAGAGTCCGTCCAAACCTGAGTAGGTTCACCGTGGCCACCATTATCAGGGCATTCACACAACAGGTATTGTACTCTATTGCTTTCTTTGTCACAATACAATTTTACAAGCCTGTGAAAGTAGTCTATTAGTTTCAAATCAGTTGTTACTGTATTGTAAAACATGTCAATTGACAACACGTTTCTTTCTTTAGAGTTGAAAGAATGCCACATAGAGGTGGGAGGGTTGCCATATTTACAGCGGCACAAGAAACCCTCATTGTGGATATGGTTCGTGAGAACAACCTCATCAGACTCCGGGAGATCAGAGACAAAGTCATTGCCGATAATGTGAACTTTGAGGGCATTGATGATGTCAGCTTGGCCACAATAGACCGAGTTCTCCGGCGCCAAAAGATGCGGATGAAACAAGTCTATAGGGTTCCCTTTGAGCGAAACTCTGCACGACACAAAGACCTACATTACGAGTATGTGCAAGTAAATATACATCCATGTTCACAGTACAGTTAGTGAACATACTGTGTTGCTCAGTGGCCTACATTACTTCTGGACAATACTATGCTACCTGATTGACTGTTGTTCTGAACACCTGTGCACTTTCACATTTTCACAGAGGATATTACAGTTGGACGCGATGGCCAGACCTCATGAGTACCTCTTCCTGGATGAGGCTGGCTTCAACCTGCAGAAACGAAGGCAAAGAGGCCGTAACATCATTGGCCAAAGAGCCATCACTGAGGTTCCTGGCCAACGGGGGGGGGGGGTAATATTACTCTTTGTGCGGCCATGGGTTTGGAGGGGCTTGTCCACCGGCAGGCTGTCCTTGGGTCTTACAACACCCAACGTCTCCTAACCTTCCTAGAGGAGCTAAAAGATATCCTCCTGGACCGCCAACAACACCATCCTGGGCCCGAACATCCCATTTATGTGATCATTTGGGACAATGTACGCTTCCACAGAACAAACCAAATCAGAGAGTGGTTCACCACCAACAGTAACCACTTTTTAAACGTCTGTCTGCCACCCTACTCCCCTTTCCTGAACCCTATAGAGGAGTTCTTCTCATCGTGGAGATGGAAGGTTTATGACAGACAACCATACACTAGAGAGAACCTCCTAAGGGCAATGGAGCTGGCGTGTGTTGACATCCCAGTGGAGAACTTCCAAGGATGGATCCGCCATTCCAGGGCGTTTTTCCCGCGGTGCCTGGCAAGAGACAATATAGCCTGCGATATGGATGAGGTGATGTGGCCCGATGCAGCTCAGCGACATGATGCCGCACAGTGATTGTGGTGTAAATAAAATAAATTAAAAAAACTTCACACCCTGATCATGTTTTCAAGAGTACTGTTGTGTGCAATAGATTCTGTTTTTGCATTGAGTTGTGTTACAGTAGTGTACAGAATTTACTATAGATTTATACTCTTCATATGAAACTCACAAATCTAAATGCCCAATCCTCTGCAGAGATCTAAGAAGATCCATTATTGTAAAGTTTCTAAATATGCATTGGCAGTTATGAAACAAAGAACCTTCTCACAAATTGAGCATTGTGTTTTCAATTGTTTTGCTGTAGTGTGTAATGATGTGTATAGTGTTTACATTTTTCAAAGCTTCGAGCTGCTCTTTTGGTGTGAAAGTTTGAGTTTTGAAGGGAGAAGGTGTGGTTGTGTTTATGTAGCTTTAGAAAAGGGTGTTGTGTTTAGACATTGGAGAACATGGACAAAACGTTTGTGAAATGTGTTTTAGCATTTGAGAAAAACTGTAAGATAACAGTAGTACTTCAAACATCTTTACATGCAGTGATGCGAAGTGTTATAAAAGTATTCATGATTCCTGATACATAACCTGATGATAAAAGTTCACAGCCAGATTCACAAAAAATCATATGTAAAAATGGAGTTTATTGCAAATTTAGAATCACTTACTAAAAGCAAATTTTAAAAATCTAACCAAGCACAATATTTGCCAAATTATTACAATAATTATTTTTTACCCAGTATGTTTTTAACATCCCTTTTATCTGAAGATCAAATCATCTTTTTGTCTATGATATTTTGTCAAGCTAAGTTATGGGCAATATAGGCTATATTATGTAACGCAAAGTCACAAATTGCAGTACCACATGAGAAGCCATTTGTCAAACAGTTAGACAAATATTTGTAGTTTAGGGTTGTAAGATCTGGGTCATCCATGGAGGACTGCGTTTGATTCATAATTTTAATTCCACCATGAAAAAAAGTTGGTGGTGAATGTTTTATTGAGTATGACATTTATCAAAACATCATAAAATTTCAGCCATAAAGGATAATCTTGGGCCTTATTTTCACGTATTTTGGTGTGGAAATGAAAAGTAGGTATAAAGAGTTTTGGAATCTGTGCAGTAGATGGCAACAGCTGGCAGCCACGAACTGGCTGCAGTAGCTGCTACATATTCCTTCAATTGTGCCCGTCAAAATTATGTTCACAAAAAGTGCTTCTTTTTGCCACAGACAGGCTCAGACTGGTGACTGTCTTACAACATTATGAAAAGGATTCCTTTGAGTGTTTCTCAAGGACAATTCTCGCTCTGATATCTGGTGATGCATAAACATAACATAAAAATAAGTTATACTAGAATGCATGGAGGAAGGGATAAATTAATGTGTTTATAATAACAAATTAGTTTACATAACAGGTGTTTTATGTCATGCACTTTTGTTGTTGCACCTTTCATACTTTGCACGCTGAAGTGCTTTGTAATGACAACACAGACAAATAATTTGACTTACTTGGACTAAAGACTTAATTATACAGTCACTCACTTTTTTATTCACCACAACCCAGTCTCAATGAAAGACTGTAGTTTTTGCTAAGATACTGAAGAGGTCAATGTTTTTGGAAAAGGTCACTCAAAGTTGTTGTAATGGCAGAAAATTCGAGAGAGCGAGAGCGAGGATCCTCATACTAACGTTTCCGCTCTAGGATCGATACTCATAAAATGAATCAAGAATCTAAACTCAGTAATTTGGAGTGAGTGTGTGTTTACTGTGAGTAAGTATCTTACTGTCACCAGGATGGTCTAATTATACTCGGTTTATAGGAACTACTTCTCCATCCTCCTGTCAAAGTCATGCTTGTGCTACAGCTCTGTGACGGAGCTTCTTTGAAGTGAGCCGCTGCAGCCCTTTACTTTTCCCACGAATGAATACAGACTATGGCTGACTGTAAAAGCAGTCACGTCTGGCTGTATTTTAGCTGTGAAGGTAATAATGACGCTGTATGTGATGTGTGCGCAAAGACAGTGAAATACTTTGGCAACACCGCAAACTTCGCTAAACATCTGAGATTATGTCAAAATAATATTATGATGCTATGAAGCGGCAGTTCTGAGTAGGATGTTTTTATTATAATTAAAGGTTCAGTGTGTAATATTTCTTAGCATCTATTGACAGAAATGCAATATAAGATCCATAACTATGTTTTCAGTGGTGTATAAAGACCTTACATAATGAGCCGTTATATTTTTATTACCTTAGAATGAGCCATTTTTATCTACATAACCGTAGGCAACCCCTTCTATGGAGAAGCTGCATTATACAATAGCCGACAACAGACAAACAGCGCTGCTGAGCGCATTTTGTCATCACCGTGTTCTTCTTCTACTTGTATAATTCCGGCAGTGTATACGCCAGTCACTACATTAAATGCGTCAAATGCGAGGAAATAATAATAACATGCAGTGTCGGAGTAGTCTTCTGGTTTTTTAGAAGTAAGAAGAGAAGTGACATTGGGACAATTGAACGAGCATGTGTTATTTAGCACGAGAGCCGACAGCCTGTGGATCTTTATACCATTGTAGCATTGTACCTACTGTTAATAAAAATGATGAATATTAATTATTCAGAAATCTTAATTCGTAAATCCTCGGGGTACCACCGGAAATTCAGTTCACCCAGGGTCTCCGGGCTCCCTGGGTAACGTTATGGGTTTAATAATTCCGCAATTATTCCTAGTGATCAGTTAGTTGTACTTGCTTAATTATTTCTATAAATCAATCAGTCAATCTCATATCGAAGGCAAAAATCCTCTGTTACAGTGACCTGGAGTTAAACAATACACACACACACACACACACACACACACACACGTTTCCTGTGATTACAGTGAAATTAATTAACTAACTAAGGGTGAATATAAATGCGGTTAAATATACATCAAAGACATAAACAATGGCTAAACAAACAGGATGCACACAATAAGAATGTAGTGGAGCTCAATGTGAATTTAGTTGGCCTGAGTTATTGTGGAGAAGGATTTGATTCTAAGAAAAAGAGAACTAATAAACTCATAGTGATATGATAATTGTCACGGTTTGGTGTGGGTGAGGCAGGTTGGAGGACCCAAACGCAGGACGCAAGGCAGGAAGAGGTATAGTACAAAGGGGTTTTAATAAACAAACAAAAGGCGAGCACACTTACAAACTGAGTGGCTGATGACAGAGTCCCAAAACAAAGGCTGTCCAACAGAAATCCAAAAGGGTGAAAACCAGAATCCAAAACTGAGCAGGGTAACAGGGAGACACGGTGAGTAAGGCTGGAGACACGAGACACACTGCTACACAGGGTGACAACATACAATGACCCGACAAAGACGAGACAGAAACACCAGGTATATATACACACACACACACAGGGACTAACGAGCAGGGCAGGAGCAACACAGGTGAAAGACATGAGGCTAATGAGGCACAGGC